CATACGGGGCATACTTTAAAAAAGCTTTGAATGTGATAACACATCATAGCGACTTTCACTGCGCGAACGACGTCGCTGACGCCGCAACATATTGATGTGTGGGGGTGATAGAACAAACATGACTTCCTTATATATTCTGAACTTTCAAACTGTTGTATGGATTACTTTAATATTTCAGATTGTATTCAGAAATGAATTAACTTTGTTAGTATGTATTGCATATAACCGTTGAATGTATCATATAAAAGATAGGAACACAGTCTTATTCATATATTGAACAACCCTCGTATATTTAACATAATTTACTGAGATATTTGTATAAAAAAGAAGTCCTTTTTAAAAAGTTGTTTCACAGAAAACCGCTTCATTATCTTTAAGCAAACTATATAATCAAGATCATATTTATATTCAATAATAGACGTAAACATATGAATCGCTCTTATAATTCTATATATCGAGATTACAGTTCTTACCAAACGTAACTGAAATGATTAGTTAGAGTTTTAATAAGTCATTTCTTAGTTTCTATTTCAGATTAATAATTTACCATCAATTAATAAACATTTATCTCTTTACAGATTGTGCTATTCATGCTATATTTCGTTGAAATTAAGAAAATAAAGGGGGCATCTGACTACGATTCATGTTAAATAGCGTAAGATTTATCCCTTGAAGTTTTCCAGAAGAAGATTCTTGGACTACTTCATACATAATAATAAAAAAAATCATGACCCATGTGGGCCAATTTTGCCCAAGGGTTATAATTTGAATAAACTTAAATTTAGACAATGAAGAAAAAACATATCAATTTTAAATTAATAGAAAGACAATAGCTTGCAATTGGTCATTGACTCTGATGGGTCAATTCGATAGTTAAGTTTACATAGTTGTATGCAATTCTGGCCACAATTAGACTAGTATAGAGCTGTACAAACGTAAATTGGGTCAAATATAGATTCTGCACCTGTGAGTCCGAAGAAAAGTATAAAACTCAACAATTATGTAGTCTCTTTTTTAGCGGTATAACGCATATAAAGGAAAAAATGGTGAACATTAATAATGAACATAATTAACCAGCACATACATTGTGAAATATCACACATTATTTTTAATGTACAGATTGTGTACACTGATTGGGAATAAAAAGGATATGAACTTATTGATATGGGAGGGATAAATAGTAAGTTAATAGTAAGGTAAATGTTACAAACTGTTTGATCTATAAAAAGTATTTATAAATGCAATATAATGACTGACATTTATATAACAATTACGTATGTGTTTGATGTAATTTCACGTTTTCGAACATTGGCAATAATTCACCGTTAAAAAATCAATTTACTAATATTACTTATATCTAAGCAGTTCAACTATTCAGATTGTAACCGAGTTTCATGTGCTTTCGGCGATCAGTATATTCTTAGTTACAACAAAAAATTAAATAATGCGAAGTTCCTGTTTGTATATATCTGTTGTTGTTGTTTTTTTGTTGTTACACAGTGCAAACAAGTACTACCTTACGTTCTTTGTAAATATTCTCTCACGTAACTATAGATTTTTTTCAACTGTATCGGAGCTTGATTTTAACGTCTTAAACCAGTAAATATCTGAATGTTTCATGAATTTCAATATATATTTTAGTCTTTTCAACGATTAGAACGTTAGTATAATTAAAAAAATATAAAAAATATAAAACTTTTAATATACTATTTTCAAAAATGTGTACGTTATCATTTTTGAAATGACACGAAACTAAATTATTTGTATATAGATTTTACAATGACCTTTACAATATTATCAATTATAACTGATCAAAATAGTAAATGCGTATACAATTAAATTATTTGCACACATTTGTACGTTATAACGTTTAATAATTTAGCGAACTAGAAATACATTTTTATTTCAGTTATAATTTTGAAGATAATTAATATTCTTTAATCATATGGTGTACGAGGGATGATTCCGAATTACATTAACTTTTAAAGTACACATGGGTGAAATTTTGTAAACCATACATTAACAATGGGACATACAATTAATACGATACGACATAACAATAATATATTTAGTTAATGTGCAAGCGTTCTGTGCGATTCTATAACCATAGTAATACATATGTGACAGTTTTTAAGTTAAATAAATCCTAAGTTAATATTATTTAACATGAGAAAAGCGCAAAATTAAGCCTCGTCAGTTCGTTTATGCTATGATATCACAGTGTTAATAGTGCGGTGTTATCAGTGTTTCTAGCTAAGAAATGGCGTGTAAAGACTATGAGAAATCCGTATAATATCTAAATGATTTTAGTAATTGTATCGTACAAAAAACACAATGAACGCTAAATATGGTTGAAAGAACCGAAAGGGAATATCCGGTGAAAAGAAACTGAAAAAATACCGTTTTTTTACAACAAGGGACAGTACAGAAGGGAGAGACAGAATATGACAGAAATGTCGTAAATGTTCGATTTGCTGCACACGACAACAAATGATCAGGAAAATGACAGAGCGCTTAGGCCTCAAAGATCGAAAATCTTCAAATAATTTGGAAAAAATGTCACTTCAGGCAGGTAATTTTGATATATATCATTTAACTCGGTATAATAATGTCTCCAATCTTCAATAACAAACTATTTACTTATACAGCAAATCTACATATGAAGTGTACAGTGTGTCGAAAAGTTTTTGGATTTTTTTTAATGGAATTTGAAATTTCTTTATAACGCTATATTTAAACAAAATGTTTCACACTATCTATAATTTTTAAAATTAATGCCATGCATACAACATATAGTCCGTATTCTCCTGACACGGCTTCGGTATATTTCTCCATAAATTCATCCATGAAGAAACAATATAGGGAATACGGTTCTGATATCTTTTTGAGCTATGTGCAGTAATAGTAAAACTATCGCATTGTATGACCAGCAATGGTTTATAGATTTGTTCCAACACTATATTGATTATAATAAAAAAAGTAAACGGCGTCTAAAATAATTAAGAGACGTTATCAAATGAGCTACGATGTTCGCCGGGTGGACCACAGTGACTGTTATTTTTTTGTAGTTTTTCATTGACATTGTTCGAATATTTTGAAGGAAGATGCTGGACGTTATTAAATCCATGATGGTATTATATTGATGAACCATATATCATTCACAGCACACGTCTGTATTTTTATGGATCATCCCTCGTATAATATAAAACTCTGATCTAGTCTAGACAGAAATACCGCTTAAATGTAATCGTACTCAAACATTTTTTATATGATGGACAAAATTTAACATTTAAAACAAACATCTGTTGATATGGGATTGTAAAATTTCATGTAAAATGTATATATGTTGATAAAATGATTTGCACAATTTCCAATAATTATAAAATCACATGAAAATAACAATATGATCGAGCGAAATTATTCACTGAGTGTACTTTATTCAAGTATATGTCGTCTAGATAAATCAAAATAGTAAAATAAAATAATATTTATTCATTGTTCGGAACTTTGGTGCATCTCCTGTGAAATATTTATAAATAAATCATTTAAAACTATATGATATACTATACTTTTAATACATGAACATGTTTTTATTTGGCAAACTTTTTGCCAGCCACTCTTTATTTGTTTTAATGTAAAAACAAATGTCTCTAATTAGAATATCAAGAAACGGACTTTTAGACATGATTTTCAGCATTCAAAAGGTCATCTATATTTCTGGTGGAATCACGTCAACCCTATCAATGCATTGCATTTCCGTCTGTGTGTATGCAAAATAGACTGACAATATGAAACGGCGCTGGTAATAAAATTGATAATTGATCTTGTTTTACAGATTTGGAAGCATTGGGGTCTAGACACAGCTTGGTTTATTTATAAATTTATTTAATTTTCTATTCCGTTCAATCGTATACATATTTAAATGCAAAGGTTCTAACAAAAAAGCAATAAACACATACTTGCCGTTTGAATGGTATCCATAGGAATCATTTCCTAATCCAGGTAGAAGATTATTTGGACAGTCATCCCGTACCATACCGATAGCTAGAATAAAATTATATTATATGTGTTATTTTATTGTAAAAGTCAATGAAGAGGTATCCCATTTGATAAGTATTAACTTTTAATTAGAACTAAATAAATGAATAATTGAAATAATAGATAAAAAATAAATAAATAATTAATTAATCAAATAATAGATTTATAAATAAATAAATAAATAATAGATAAATAAATAAATAAATTATTTAGGAAAACCTTAAATGGTTTACGTTTACTGTAAGACACATTTATTTAACGTAATTAATGATTAATTGGATATGTTATAAAAATGAGTCACAGTGTTCCTTGAAAACTAATCAAATTGATACTTTGATACTCAGAAAATAAAATTATTAATAAAAAATAAAACAAACATGTGCTTGTTATGTATTTATGGCAGGTTATCAATTAATTTTCAGAAAGTATTTACAGATGAAAATTAATATTTAACTTAATCCTCCCTTCATATGTTTACTATCATAGTAACATATTTTAAAATAACATTAATTTCTGTTTGGTTCTTGGCGATAAGGTATCACTGGATTTTATCATAAACATGATATGCTCAAAAGCCTATCTGAAGATAATAACAATTTTGACGACTCTTCTTTAATTCTTTAAGCAATATTATTGTACACAAACTAATTATAGCTAAACACCTGACTCAAGTTACATTTGATCGAACTTTATAGTATGCAAATATTTACCTATACCTCCGTCTGTACCAATGCTCATAACCTCGATTTCAAAACCGTCCGTCTTACCAACTGTATTTTTGTAAATAAATAAACCAAGGTCGCCTTTTGCTTTTTCAGCATAACTGAAAAAGAAAGCAAATCAATCGTATTGATCAAAACATGTAAAAATATCCTATAATTATAAAATGTCTGTTAACCTATAAAAGATTGTCAATATATTTTGAAACAATTGCATGTAAATTACAAAGTTTAAGTTAATGTAAAAATAGTTGTTTTATGTCACCTGATTAATTCTCCGTCAATGATGAGGTTTCTGCAAACAAGTTGTCTGTCCAGCAACGGCTGAAAACATAAGATAACGCGAAATAATTTATTATTAATTGTATCATTAAAAATATAAACACATTTTACATTTACAATATATTTTGATTTCTTGATGACTGAATAGGTCGTTTGGAAAAAATACAAATAAAAGTTACAACACTCTCAAATAATATAGGATACTAACTTGATATTTTGGTGAACATAAAGCCTTTGTCACTGGTGTTGCTTTGTTTGCTTTTACTGATTCTTCTCTAAGTGCTGATTTATGAAACAAGAAAAGAAGCAAAATAAATACGGTAGTTTACAAAATTATTAAAAAAACGTGTTTTAGAAGCTACTGTATAACATTTATAACATTACAAAAAGCCTTTATAATAACCATAAATGAATATAACAAATGTTAATTCTGAGAAGATGTTTTAAATTAGTCGTTTTATTGATATAACCATATTATTAGCTTGTTTAAACATGTTTCATCAAAAATTACTTCGAAAGTTAGAAGCTTACCTGCACCAGATTCGTTAGGCTTATGCATCACTCCTAGTTGTTTACAAGTTTTCATCAACTGTTCGAGATTACAGTCAGGCAAGAAGTCGTACGTTTCGATCGTATTGTTCGCTTTGATTCTTTCTAGCTGGTCTCGGACGAGATGGAGATTTTGTTTGTATGACAAGGAACTGATGAACAATTTGTAAGGCTGATCAACGTCTAATTGTATTGTGTCTCTCATACCATTTGTTTCATCAACAAGGCGTTTGTTTTCTTCTTCCAGGTTTTCGATCTTTTTCATGTCTGCTGCCATAATATCATCTCCATATTTTAGCATTGCATCAGAAAGTTTCGTGATATGTGCAATCATTTCATCCCTGAATATGATGACATCAAGAGCAAATTTTTTGTTGACATCTTTAATATAGTCCTTGTTTCGCTTGATGCTTCCTGAAATAGTTTTAGCTTCACTGTCATATGTCTCGATTTCCTTCTGCAACATTTTGAACTCTTTACTGTCTTTGTATCCATCGATATGTTCAAGAATGTACTCTACTTTACATGGTTTATGGGAGAATATCATACAATCGCCGCAACCAACTTGGCCATGTTCGGGACAGACAAATTTAATATCCTCGTTGAGATGTTTAGTACATTTATCGAATTCGGGTGTTTTTCTATTGGATTTTGCTACAACTGTTGCAACCAATTTATGTTCCTGAATTTGATTTCAATGCTTATGTGTATCAAAACATATTGACGACTATTATACTTCACATGCAAACATGAGCCCATCTGAGTATGATGTCGCCTTAACGTTTCTCACAAGGGTTTACAATAGTTACGAAGTTTCTTTTCCCGATACCAATCCATATTCATTGACGAAAGCTCTGAAAAGAATCAGCACTGGACCATTTTCAATATGAGCAATTAATCTGGTTTGACAGTGCTACATTCATAATAAATGGGCTATATATCATGCAACATGTGTTTATTGTTTTCTTATAGGCGTACATATAACCTAAACAACTAAACGGGAAAAAAATAGCATAAAACACAGGTAAGGGAGCCATTTACTCAGTGTCAATATAATATACACAGAGACAAGACAACGATTATTTGTATGTTTTTCACCAAATTGGCATGTTTTTTTTTCGGGGATAATTTTACAACGTCCCCATACTTTAAAACATTAATGAATTATCTACACAATTAACAAAAAACTTTCCCTACCTAAGAAAATAATTCTTTCTTTTTAAACCTTTTCCCAACAACTTAAAAAATTGCAACATGTTTAAAAGTACAAAATTATGTAAAAATAGTTCATTACAACTGTGTATAATACCTTTTCCTAAATTGCAATTACTATATAACATCATATTTGATGTTAACAGTACTAACTGTACCAATACAATATGCAAATGATTGTCAAGTTTAAAAAAGGAAAAAACACAAGTCCTAACGTTCCATAAAAATAAATTGCTATTTAGCATGCATAATATGCAGCCAAAATTTTATGATCAGACAAACCATCAACATATTCATATTTTGAAACATGACCATTACTGTCTCAATGTGACTTTATCTAAAGCTTCTTTTTTTCTCACTTTCGACACCCAATAGATAAATTTATAGGCGTACATAATAACTAAACAACTGAAACGGATTTAATAATCCATAGCATAATCACACGCAAGGGGGAGCAATTTTACTCAGCTGTCTATATAATATACAACAGACAAAAAAAGATAAAAATTATTTACATGTTTTTCACCAAAACGTGCATGTTTTTGTATTATAGTTACCAACGTGCCGATACCTTAAACATTATTGGAATCTTTCTACACGAACTATAATTCTCATTTTATTAAACGCTTTATAACACACTTCATATATTGTCAGACATGTTAAAAGATACTTATTGTGAGAAAAAATTATGTTTATTACAGCTGTGTATACTTTTTTCTAAATTGCAATCATTATACAACATCATATTTGATGTTAAAAATATTAACTGTACAAATACAATATGCAAATGATTTTAAAGTTAAAAATGGATAGGAAAACATTATAGTCTTAACGTTCCATAAAATATATGGTTATTTACATAGGTGTTCGGCGCGTTGATTGGTCACTACGTAAGTGTTATTTTAAGGAAGTAACCATGATATGCAATGATTAAGTAAGGATGTTATAAAAATGAACATAAATGACTTTTTGATGCAACTCAAAATTTCGTACGTGTTACAGTAAAAAATCTATACGCAGTCGCTTCATCTCGGTTCCCTGTAAGATGAATTATAGAATAAAACAATAATCTTATACACGAACATAGATATACAGTACAATATCGATCAGAAAATACCACAGAGCTTGCAGCCCTTTGATTTATTCACGACTGAAATACTAGTTTCATGTAAACTAGTTTGTAGGCTCCTGTAGGATACACACACCATGTAATGTTTTTCTCAATTGAAGAAGTTTTAGATCTAATGTTCAGAAGGGAGTCTTTTTCATGAAAAATTATGTTTCGAATGCCCACCTGGATGGCTATTCCTAGTTTTTTTGAAAATGCTTATACTTGTTATTTTTTTAATCAATTCGTTATCTCAATGACAAACTGTTAATCGGACCCCCTATTAATGATTTGTTTTACAAAATTGTCTTCTAGATAGACCCTGATCTTTGGATTGTTGAAATGGCTCTTAGGCACTACATATCCAAATATATGTTCTTGCGCAATTAAAATAACACAGTCATATTATTTTCGCTATTTGAAGTGTAATTTAAATATAAAGTACACAATTTCATGAATTGTTATCAAATTATGTATTTCTGCTAAGTTATTTTTAAGTCTTACTATGAATGACGGAACCCTAAACTGAACACATTTTTAAAGCACTTTCAAGTCGAACTTTAAGTGTTTGGCTTCAAATCTAGGTCTTCCATGTGACAGTGCTTCAATATGCTAAACATTAAATAATTTATGTGAATCGATCCAAGACAATTATGGACGGGACTAAAAACAGACAGACATATTCCTAATGAGTTGACATGTGCGGATGTATGTGATTTCATTTTTTTCAAACTCCAAAGCAGCATTTTTGCCCCCCATAAACAATGACTCATACTTAAGGTCGGGCGTATACGGAATTGATCTCATCGACAACTTAGAAGCCGTCAAATACACGTGCACCTTGCTGGCATACAGACATGTGGACAGAATTTCCTTCAGGGCGATAAAATTAATTTTTAAATAAATTGCAAAAGTTTAAAAAATATTTTGTGTATACTTGGAAGTATGAGATTAACATCTAAATGACAAACACAAGTATGATTCTGATTTAAATAGGTATAGTTTGTGATCTTTTTGTAGTTTTAAAAGATGATTTCTCTAAGTCTGCTCTAGTAAGTCTTATTGAATATCACGGCACGTTTAATACCTATAATAAAAGAAAACAAGCATAGTGCCTTATTGCAAAAAAGTCTATGTGATGTAGAGGGACAAAAGAAGAATTTTTTGGTCTATTTTTAAAATCATGTGAAAACCCGACTGTTGGTTGAAACTGAAAACGTTTTAAAAAATTTCCAAATATCACGAATATGATAACTTCTTTTCAAAATAATAGATACAAAAATCTAATCATATATATTTTTAATGATCTGTATATTTTTTAAAGTTTAAAGGTATTTTAAATTAAGGAAAAATTATGAAATAATTATCAGTTGAAATACAGTATTAACACATAATTTAATTTTGTTACTCCTTATAACTTCCGTTTACAGAAAAAAAATGTTGTAGAAGAAACACATCCAAAGAAACATGCTGTTTACAACACAATACACGTGCATCATAAAGTGGTAAACAACTGAAATATGAGGCTGAAGTAACAATCCAATAGCATAATAAAACAAAAAAATGGAATTGCTAATGAAAGGCAATTATCACTTATTCATTGTACGAAACAAACATTTGAACCACATTATCATGAACTTATAAATAAACAAGTCATTTTTTAAATTGTTTATCTATTTTATTAATCATTTAAGTAATTAATCAAATTAATTAATTAATTAAATAAATTATTCATTTAATTAATTAATTAATTAATTAATTAATAATGATAAATTTATAATGTTTATGTTTCATTCAATTGATTAATTTATTGCCATTCATTTGAATATATTATCTAATTGCTTCCGAAAGTCATAAAATATAATTGACACACGCTAACATACAAACGTTTTAGTTATTCAAATATATTTTTTTTTAAATATTTTCTTAAAAAAGAGATATTAAAAGTTATCAGTCATGGATCATTGTCTGTTGAGAAAGGTTTCAATCTTGGATATCATGATTTAAGTAAAAAAAAAAAGATTTAAAATGTGTCGTCACGCCACGATGTCCCAGCATGCAGCCAAAATTTGGGATGTGATAATATATATTTCAAAATTTGTTTGCACAAATTATTCTTTTCATTTTAAGTTCAAAAGATAATAAATGGGAACTGAAAGTTTCTTTTTTTAAAATTAAAGGGTCATAATTCTGCAAAAATCATCAAACCATGACAAAATTAAAACATGACCTGCGCAATTCTTTGACGTATCCATATGTCAAATTTGAGTTGAATGTGTAATACCCTAGGCGAGATAGTGGACGAAATCGAAATTTTCATAATAATTACAAAGTGAAAGGGTCATAACTCTGCCAGAACCATCAAACCATGGAACAATACAAACATGACCTGCGCAATTTTTTGACGTAACCAATTAACAAATTTGAGTTGATTGTGTAATACCCTAGGGGAGATAATGAACGGAAACTGAAAATTTCATATTATTTTCAAAGTGAAAGGGGCATAACTCTGCCAAAAATCATCGAACCATGACTAAATTTGAACTTGACTTGCATTTCTTTGACGTATATAATGGTTAAATTTAAGTTGAATGTGTAATACGATTGGGTAGATATTGAATGGAAACTGAAAATTTCTTATAATTTTTAAATTGAAAGGGGCATATCTCTGCCAAACATCATTGAACCATGAGCAAATTCGACGTTGACATGTAGATCCTTTTGACAATCCATTGGGGAGATAATGAGCGGAATCTTAAAATTTCATATTTTTTTCAACGTAAAAGAAGGGAATAACTATGCCAAAAATCATCGAACCATGACCAAATTCGAACTTTGCCTGTATTTTTTCATGACATACCAATATGTCAAGTTTGTGTTGAATATGTAATACTGATGGTGAGGTAATGAACGGAAACTCAAAATGTCATATTATTTTCAAAGTAAAAGAGGCATAACTCTTCCGAAAATCATCGAACCATGACCAAATTCGAACTTGAACTGTATTTTTTCATGACATATCTATATGGAAAATTTGTGTTGAAAGTGTGCAACCGTTACTAAGATAATGAACGGAAAATAATAATGACTGAATGACAGAATGACAAAAGGACGGGCTGACAGAAAGATGGAATAGGGTAACAATTTATGCCCCGGTCATTATATTCTTTATGAAATAACGCTTTTTTTTATTCAGCACCGTGCAGTGTGCTTACCCGTTGTATGTATGAAATAAACTTCAAAATGCAGTTTGGTATCATTGAACTCCTGAAAAAAACTCACTCAATCGTATTTTAAATATCATAAGAAAGAGAGTTGCAACAACTATCTAATTTCATCTATTCAAACGACACTTGTTATGCT